GAGGAGCCCTAGGGCTCCGCGGGGCACACTTTGAGAAACGCTGCCCTAAAGTAACCAAGTCCACTTATTTTTTATTCATTAGATGAAGATTTCCTCAATACATTATGAATAATTTAGCATTTAGTTGCGTATTAACTATTACATAAAACACCTTGAGGAAAATCATAACTTAATTTTTAACATACGAGGGGATATTGGTATGTAGATAGCCTGGGAAGGTTCTAATAAACAAAATATGGTTACTATGGTTACAGCTATGATTTATAAATAAGTTAGTGAGAAAAACTTGAAAAATTTTAGTTTTGGTCAGTTAGGGCCATTCGCACTGCTAGTAGTTAAGGAATAAGCGAAGCTTAAAATGACATTGTCAATGGAAAAATGTCATTTTAAGCTTAGCTTATTTCTTAACGATTAGCGGTGCAAATGGACCTTAAGCATTTATTTTTGAAAGGTTTATCCGGTAAAGACATTTTGCTGATATGACAGAAACTTTAGGTAACCAGTGAACTTCATATCGTCGGCTTAATATGAAAATTGCATAAGTCCAAAATAAACAATTTTAGAGGAGAGACAAAAAACGAATTTACGGCTTATTTAAAATTTATAGTTAAATAAAAATTACATTGTTATGAAAATTGCACAACTCCATTCAAAATTTAAACATGGTTTACAGATCAATATTTGTTGAAATATAATCGATTTAATATAACTTTGAGTCACTTGTACTTATTTTTACGTTATTATTACAAGTTTTATATATTGTTTTTAGTAAAATCTAGTGACAATTTTCGTAAACTAAGAATACATTTCTGTAGCTTTAGCAGCGGTGAACCAGATTCAGCCAAAATCGCAAAATCTAAAAATTTGGACTAATGCACTTTTCATATTAAGCCGACGATATGGCACCATTAAAAATTGAATTGCAGAATTTAAAGAAAGATCAGATGTTAAATATGAGCACCGCTCTAGAAGATCAATTACTATGACCATTTCGGAAAACATCAATTCTGTCTATAATATAATATTAGCTTTTAGCATATCGACAAATCAAGTGTATAAAGAAGTATTGCATATTTCCTATAAACGTGTATTTCATATCGTTCATCACCACTTGAATATGAGAAAGCTTTCAACCAAATGGATTCCGACATGCCGTGATTTTGAAGACAGTTATTGTGGAATTTTATATGGTAGGCCAAGATCAATACCACCTCGTATATAATGTAAAAATATTCGATAATAGAAATGCAAAGATGGACAAGGACGGTCGAGAACGTAAAAATGAATTTATATAGGTACCAAATTCTATTTATTAAACATATACTGCAAATTATTAAGACATTCTACAATGTTTTTCCTTATTGCTCAATAAGGCAGAAATAGATAACTACCTTCAGTCTAAATATAAAAAAAAATTAAGTGCATATAATGGCAGATCAGCAACATTAAGCGGTAACTTTTGCTGTCAGGACCTTAAGAGAGGGATGACGGGGGGCGAGGGAAGTCCTCAGTACTGCAGGCCGTCCAGCAATACGTAGGTCGGCTGTTGGGTAACAGGGTACAGTCCCGCTTCCGATATGTAGTTGCTGGACTGAACAAAATCACCCAGTATATTTACACAAGAAGTTTTTGTCCTAACGCAACACGCTAGTCTTTTTAGTCAAATAAGTCAATCGAAATTAATACAGAGTGAGTCATAAAAAACGAATACAACAATGAACACATTCTTTGGCATAATAACATAAAAACAAATTTCAAATGATCCTAATTAAATTTAGTTGCTGAAAAATTCAGGATATTCCTCTTTGAAAATAATGATAGGTAGGTCCTGTAACAAAATTCCATCCCTTGAGATGTAAGTAAAATTGAATTTTTAATATTTTTATCAAATCTGCATTAATGTAGAAACTTGAAATTTTGAAAATTATAGACACGCATAAAAAGCTAATTAGCGTTTTTTATTTTAGTATTACCATTATGTTATAAGGCATTTAAATTAATAACCCATATTTTATGTTAAAACTTTCTGTTGGGTTAAATTTTATAAATTAAAAATATTATTCAGAATTTCTCTTTCAGTTGTTAACTTTTCGTCACTTGCATTTTCTCCATAGAACTAATAATTGAATAGCATGTATGATACATAACTTGTATTAAATTACAATTTAAATTCTAAGAGTAGGGTAACAGCACCCTACTCTTCATCAAATTTTAGTAGGCTACTGTCAAGATGTGTAGTCATTTTACCTTTAAGGAAATTGTAACTTATTTGTTTATACTTATATACTTATACTTTTTTGGGAGTCGGGCTGAAAAAATGTTGCAATAATTTTCAACAAGAAATCTCCTGAATTTTTTAGCATGAATTTCAAAACACCCTGTATGTATAAATAAAAAATTATTATTCTAGACAGCTAGAATCCAGTTTGAAGTAATTGCAACTTTTCTGGATAATATGGTAAACCAGACAATTTATTGTCCATGTTAATTATGAAAATATATTAAAGGCTTTCACTTGACCTTTAATTTTTTTAAGAAGTAAGAGGAAATGTTTGACACCTAAAAAAATATTTTAACCAATATACAAATATCCTATAAAGATCTTCCAAGCCCTATAAAGTCAAATAGATGAATCGGAAGTGACAGGTACATTTCATATCTACACTGACTGTTCTAAAACCAAACAAGGCTCAGGACATGGAATATACTCCAGATCCTTATTCCTAAACACAAAATGGACTGTGAGCAATAGTGCCAGTGTAGTTCAAACTGAGCTCACAACAGCAAAGTAAATAACCAGAAACAATATCACTGGAATAAACATGCTCATCAATACAGATAGCAGACAAGAACTACTCACCCTGAACATACCACGAATTTACTCAGGGTTAGTACTAGAAATGTCACGAAGCTTTGGCCGAAGTAACTATCAACAATGTGATCACGTTAAGATGGATCAAAGGTCACGCCACATCGAAAGGTAACTGGCTTGCAGATTCACTAGCTAAGAAAGCAGCCAACCAAATACTTTTTTGGACCTGGCCCTTCTATTGGCCTGACAAAATCGGTAGTGACAGACCTAATTAAAGAACTTTCCCTTGTGAAATTCAAGGAAAGATGGGATGAAACAAGAAACTTCAGAGTTGTCAGGGAGCTCTTAAGTTATCCTGACAACTCAGCAAACAAATACTTGACTATGACTAGACAGAATATATACCTAGTCACAGGTATTCTGACTGGTCATTGCCAAGTATGGAAGCATCTCCATATTATGGGGCTGTCAGACTCCGCACTCTGGAGAGGGTGCGAACAAGAAGATGAGACCATCGATCATATTACATACATACATATTACAATTGTTCGATGCTCTCATTTATTAGAAGATTTGTGTTCGGCGAGTATCGGCTAATACCGGCCGATATAAGAGAAGCTCCTCTTGGATACATTAAATCTGTAGGCTGGCTCACGAGCTAGGAGATACCTATCTTCTTAAGAGAATGCACAATGGGCCTAGTGAGGCCTAAGTGCCATCGGGTAACCCACCTTTTACACCTTACAGAATCTATTAAATATTTCATATACCAAGAAATGTACTGAGAGTAAGTATTACTTATTTGTATTTATAAATTAGCTGTTATCTTATTAATTAGAACAATTTTGAGATGTTTGGTGAAATATTAACATTTTGAAACCAAGGTATCTTTTAGTTTTTTTGACTCAATCTGTAGCGAGAATGGAAAATATACAGGGCATTTAATAATGTAATCAAATATGAAGGGTCCAGATGAAAATCATGATAAGCATCAATTTCATAATTTTAGGGTTTCACAATAATATAGTTGGCCTACAAAATGCATAAACTCTACTGGGAAATAAGCTGTTAATTCCCATGATATATGCTTGGTAAACATATACACACAGAGAAAGAACCTGATAAACACCAGCCATCTAGAGGAATCAAGTCCAATTTTTAACATGACAAAATTTTTATTTTTAGATCCAGTACCAGTTAGTTCTCGAAAGTGGAAAATCTTGCATTATACAGGTGTATTATAAAATTTTTTTTAGTTTGTTACACGTTCATATTTTGCTTAAAATATTTTTGATTTCCAAAGTTTAGTGTTAGTTTGTTACACGTTCATATGTTGATTAAAATATTTCTGATTTAATATAATTAGTAATCCTAGAAAACAACTGTTACAAGTAGTTGTCATATTAATACGTTTTGAAACGTTAGTTGTCTCTCCTGTAAAATTAATAAAATGACGCTTATCATGTTTTTCCCCTGAACCCTTCATATATTATTAATGCTGCCAATTGACATGTTCCTTTGAATGATTTTGCTACTAAAACACCCTGTATATTTTAATAAATATCCTAATATATCTGTAATATTAGATTATAATCGTTTCTTGGTTTTTAATTTTCTAATTCTAAAAAGAGTAACATAATTTGGTCGAAATTATATGACTTATTTTACAATAAAATATATAAATATAACTTTTTACGGCAACACACTTAAAATGAGTGGTTCAGTGCCAGTGTTGTCTAACTAACAAATTTCAAAACAATCATTCTTCATATATTATTTTAAAATCATTTCATCTTAAAATTATTCATTTTTGGTATCACCATCTATACCTAAAGATTGCAGTTATTCTAGTAGACACAAATAAAGTGCTTTGATCTCAATTTACTCACTTTTTAATAAATTGTCGTTAAGCAGCTGCGGCACTAAATCACTCAAATGTGCTCAATTACTATGATTCCGCTCTCAGAAATAAATATGATGAAATATGTAAAAATAGTAAAACCCCAATAACAAGGATTCACATTATAAAAATTACAAAACATAAAAGTTAAACACTTCCTTTGTTTTTACTATAAAATAGGTCATATTTTGAAAAAAACCTCTTGCCATGTTGCTCTAAATGGAGACTGAATTTCATAAATGAAGATTGAAACCCATTTTATGTTAAAAGTTCAAAAGCTGTACTTACCGGCATAGGCATGGGGTACTGTTGGGGCATATAGATCGTTTGAGCTGGAAACATCATAGATGGGTAAGCCGCTGTCTGAGGTGGGCCAGTCTGAGTAGGATACATAGGAGGGGCTAAAAATAAAATACTTAGATTTTTTTTCATTATTATTTTAGAGGTACCTACGTTGGTAAACAGGCTGTTGAGCAGTGGGGTCCCCGGGAGCAGTAGGAGCTGGTTGGGAGTAATAGGCGACACCACCCTGAAAATATGGCATGGCAGCTCCGGGAGGAAAGAAGAACTGGGTAGGATTTCCAGCGGCCACTGTTGGAGGACTAGATGCATCAAATGCTCGACTAAAAGGCTGTAAATGCGAAAATATTCCAAATAACTAATATAATACAATAAAGTTATTTCAAAAATTAAATTATGTCTACAGGTAAACTTGTCGCGTTCTAACCTGTTTTTTTATAGCTGGCGCAATATTCAGCTTTCTCTCTCTTAAAACAATGTTCTCTGCTTCCCTAAGTGGTCGCTTGGCGTCGTCCTCGCTTTCGAATGTAATGAATCCATAACCTTTGGATACACCCGCTCTGTCTTGGATAATTTTTGCAGCCTTTACAGTTCCATAATTGCTGAAAAGTTGCATCAATTCTCCTTCCGTCGTATTAGCAGATATCCCCCCAACAAAGATTCTGTTCGGTACCAGAGTACCTAAGAGAAAGAATTTCATTAATCTCGAAAATAAAAAAAAATGATTAATATTATTTAGTTTAAAATTAATAAATGTATTAACCCTTTCACTGCTCTGGGAATAAATTGTAAGTTCTAATAGAAACAAAAAAAATTAAGTAATAGTAGAAGTATGATATTTATAGGAATTCATAATTTCATAGTGCATATTTAATATCAATTTGTTCAACTGACAAATACATTCTACTACTAGATGTTATTAAATATGTTAAAAAACAAAACTTTGTTGACTAGATACATTTCTCAAGCAGCCTTAAACTTGACCAAGAGAAACTGTCAAGATGGTTACATCAACTTTCAGTGCAGGTAGAATAAATTATCCAAGCGTTTAGTTATCTTTCTCCAAATAGAAATTCATCTTACTCTAATATTGTCTAGAAACGACCTTGAAAAAGTTGGCTCAGAATTCAAATATTTCATTTCACTAAACTGAATAGACAAAGAAAGGTATACTTAATTGTTAAGTTGTGTGCTGAATAACAAAACAAACAAAAAACTTTATTTCATTATCATAAGAAGACGTCCCAGGCCTAAAAATATAATCCAATACTTTTCTTCAAGATTTATCCTTGACGTTTTTGCTAAGAGGATACCTAAAATGTTTGTACAGTCTTTTCTCCTTTATTCCCTTTTCTCATCTCTTGTGCTCTCTACTTTAGAAGGTCATAATCTTTTATCCATGATAAAAGATAGATCCTGTACAATATTAATTTATGTTAATTTGAAATCCATTTCTGGACTCAAGTTTGATTTTCCTCCTGGACCGGTGGGCTCTGGAGGTCCCAATTCAACACTGAACATAATACAGATAGAAAAGACATATTTAATCAATAATAAAGCTGTTTTTAGAATAAATCAATTTTCTAATTTTTTTTATAAAAGATGGTATTACCAAAGGTAATACCTTGGTAATACCACAAGGTGAGAATTTTTTAAGAATATATTGTTTTCTTGGAAATTATGAATCTAAATTTCACAAAACAAAATCCTTCTTCAATGTCAGTCGAATTGTATTTAACACTATAAACAGAACTTTTAAACATAATTTAAAATTAATTTTATTTGTTTACAAACTAAATATTTCAACAAACGATTTTTGTCAATTTTTTGTCACCTTTTTAACAAACCTCACATTGACGTTTTGCATAAATCATTAATATGTTACTTTGGTAATTGATTGAATTTTTTAAATCCAATCAGGAATGAGCGAAAATACTGCACGATGCAGTGTTTTTTAATATGATACAATATATCTCACAAAATATTAGCAGGGAAATTTTATATCTATGTTTTTTCCCTCTAGGTATCTGTTGAGTCAGAGATGTAGTTGTTTTCTGGTAATAGTTGTATTATTTGTTACATTTAACTTCCTTCTTTAGATGTTGGTCATCCATATATGTCATGTGTAGAGGGTGGGTCCCCATAGCACTAAGGTCTCACTAGGCCCATTGTGCATCCTTCTAAGTTGATAGGCACCTCCTACCTTGTGAGCCAGCCTTCAGATTTGATCAAGAGGTGCTTCGTTTATATTGGCCGGTGTTAGCCAATTCTCGTTGAACACAAATCTTCCAATAAATGAAAGCATCAGGAAATCGTAGAGGATATGCTCAATGGTCTCATCTTCTTGTTCACACCTCATGCAGAGTGTGGATTCTGACAGCAACATGCTATGGAGAAGCTTCCGTACTTGGCAATGACCAGTTAGAATGCTTGTGAGATCAGGCACAAATTATGTCTAGTCACAGTCAAGTATTTATTTGCTGTAGTGTTGTTAGATAACTTATAAGCTCCCTGGCAACTCTGCAATTTCTTGTTTTAACCCCTTTCCTTAAATTTCACAAGTGAATGCTCTTTAATTAGGTTTGTCACTACCGATGTTGCCAGTCCAATAGAAGGGCCATATCCAAAAAGTATTTGGTTGGCTGCCTTCTTGGCTAGTGAATCAGCAGACAGTTACCTTTCAATGTAGGATAAACCTTTGATCCATCTTAAGGTGATCACATTGTTGATGGATACTTCGTTCAAAGCTTCATAACATACTAGTACTAACCCTGAGTAAATGTGTGGTCTGTCCATGCTATCTGTATAGATGAGCATGTTCCTTCCAGTGATATTGTTTCTAGTAACGTTTTTTGCTGCTATGAGAATCCCCGTGAGCACGGTTTGAACTACACTGACACTATTGCCCACAGTCCTTTTTATGTTTAGGTTTAAGGATCTAGAGTATGAAGTTGAATCCATATGGGAAATGTTGTTAATATTACGATTGAAAAAAACGAGGTAGGGCCCATACTAACGTTTCCTAGGAACTGCATTAGTTATCTGTCAAAAAAAAATTTTTAAGTGCAGTTTTGACAGAAAACTAATGTCAGTAAACAACTTTGATATGGACTATTTTAAGTTTTTAAATAAACAGAGGTGATTGTCCTACGTTTTTTTCCTCTCGTAATATTAACAAAATTTCTCATATGGATCCAACTTTATGGCACAAGCTGTATACCGGGTGTTCAAATTAAAGTGTTACAGTTAAATACCGCCGAAAATATGCATTTTAGGAAAAAAGTTTCAGACAAAAGTTTTATAGTTTTTTGGGGGAAACATTTTGGCTAAATTCATTTTTTTATTACTCATAATATGGCCATATCGAGGTGTACTTTGTTTTTTTAAATGGGAACCCGATTTTTTTTACATATTCTTAAAGTACATAAAAAAATAAGAAACTTTTGATGGAAATATTTTTTTTATTCGACTTTTGCTTTTTGAGTAACAGCTACTTGAAAATTTTGCTACACGAAAAAAAAATTAGCCTTATTATGGTTAGCTATAAAAAACGATTTTAGCCAATAGGCGGTATTTAGCTGTAACACTTTAATTTGAACACCCGGTATAAATTATTGGACATATTTATGTTTGGAATTATTTTTTTCCTTCAATGTTTTACTTAAGTTTTTCGAAGGTTAACACTCGTGAAATATTTAGGAATGAAAATCATTATGTAGTAGATAGTAAATCATAATTATGATTATTATCAGCTAGAAATCTTAGCAATTCTAATTTAAGTGGAATTATTCACAATACTAACTAATGCATTCTCCACTTGAAGTAGATTAAATATAAATAAAAATAATTTAGAGATTAAATTTGGAGCATTTACATAAAACTTTATAGGTCCAGGATCAGTTCTTTTTAGGTTTTTACAAAAATATAAAAAAAAACTAGATTAGTCCCTACAAAAAAGATAATTATATCATAATTACCTGAACCGGCCTAACAAGTTTTGCCTGAATGCTCCACAAATACTATTGTGAATCATAAGGTTTGTTCCAACCAAGACTTTTGTACCGTTTCAAAATGGTACATGGGATCGTTCAACAAGCTTGTTATGGGCAAATGCTAACCTGGCACTGTCTTGTGGATGGGATCACACTCTACCAGGGTGAAACAAATTTATGTACCATTTTTAGTATCGAATGATGCTGTTTAATTTCAGTTGGTGGGAAGTAGGAATTACCTAAATAGTTATCATTTTTAATTCTATGTTCATTTAGAGCAAGTTCTAAATTGTCTTCACTAGATGATAAGTCTGAGAGAAAATCATCACCTTCATCACTCATAATTAAATTAGGTATTAACCAAGAACAAACATAATTAAGCAAAAATCTGAAAAACAATTTAATTTAAAAACGTAAACACCACCAAGTATTAAATGTCAAATCCAAACAAAAAAGAAGAGCCTTGCTCATTTCAGTGTATGCAGTGCATAAACGAGGTTAGCAACTACAGAAATATTAGTCTATAGTCGCAAATTGCTAAAATCATTGACTATAGCTACAATATGAGATTAACCAACTTTTTAGAACAGAAGGGACTAATACCCAACTGGCAACATGGCTTTAGGCAAAAAATGTCAACAGAAACTGCAATAAGTGAACTCTGCAATAATGTCTATAATCACCTAACTAATAAAAAATATCCACTAGCTCTTTATTTCGGTCTTAGTAGAGCATTTGACACTATAGATCATGATCTTCTCTTAGAGAAGCTGTATCACATAGGCGTTCGAGGTGTCACGAATGACTGGGCTGCATCCTATCTGCAGGGAAGATCTCAGATTGTAGCTATAGAAGATGCTAAATCCGCTCCCCGGCTAATAACAGAAGGAGTTCCTCAGGGCTCAGTTTTAGCCCCACTAGTTTTCATCTTGTTTATGAGCGACTTAGAATACTCATGTCCAACACCTAGAGTAACTACCGTTGGTTATGCTGATGACACTAATCAATCGGTCCATATTAATAGTCTTTCTCTTGCAACAAATAATTATTAGATACATGATAGGAGCCTATCCTTCGGAACATTGTCAGCAACATTTTATCAAGTTATCAATATTAATTAACTCTTCCATGCTTGTTTATTTATCTATCAGTGTTACATATTAAAAAAATCTTCCACATCAAACAACTAATAATATGATACACCCCTATCCTACTCGAAGAGGTGGCGAACTTCGTACACCCTTCTCAAGATTAACAGTGGGTCAAAACTCTCTGTATTATCAAGGAGCCATCTTGTTTAACCATTGTGTTAGAATTTTAGGCAATATTGAAAACTTTAAAAAATTCAAATTTATACTGTTTCAGTTTCTTGCAGGCAATGCCTTTTACCCTTTTGATGAACTTTTAGCATATTAATTTTATAACAAAATATATTTTACCTAATGTTAATTTTAACTGTCTTTTGTGTTAGTTTTCTGTATATTATATATTATCTTAGCTCTAGAATTTTAAACTTCTATGAATTGGACAGAGTGAATGGTGTTTTTGTTTTTTCTATGGACATACTGTGTATGAGCTGACTAGTCTGATAAGTTTTTTTTTAAACATTGTAAAAATACTTTATTGACAAATAAATTCTATTTTATTCATGTCAACCCAAGTGATACCAACTTTTAGTTTGGTATCGAAAGGACCATACATAAACTGATTCCCGAAATGGTCCCGTGTTTGGTTGGAACGCTAACCGGACGGTACAATGAATCAATTCTTGGATGGAACGGACTTTATTTACTGCGCATGACGATGATCGTACGATGTACGGTTTTCTGTTGGGTTGGAACAAACCTATTGCTAGTCAAATACTTTGTTCATTTGATATATATTATTTAACTTTTTTTATAATTTTAGTCTTTATTTATTTGTATATTCAATATTTTTTATATTTCATTTGTGTTTCAAGGAGGATAGTCTCAGAAAAGGAAAGATAATTTAAGACAAGGGCCATTGCCTGAAAAGCTATTTTTAAAATAATTTTGAAACATATAATTGTTTATAAATTCCAAGATAAATTATTATTGGGACAAGCATGGGCATCACAGGAAAAAATGTCAAACAAAAGAAGTTTTAGTTTGTCAACAACTAAATTGTATATGTACACAAAAATAATAGTTCAGTTAAAACCCAAATCTAAGAACAAACCAAAATTGTTTTAAGATCACAAATAAAAAAAAAATGAATTAACATTTGAAGAGGTTGAGTGGTGTGTACACACTGGGTAATAAGAAATGAATCGAGATTATTTAAAGTGTGTAAAATAGAGTTTTATTCAATAAAACTCTGTAAAAATTTGCCTAAGCACTTTCGGCCTATTAGGCCACCATCAGAGACTTCGTCAAAAACTATAGAAGATACATGAAAAATGAACTAAATTAAAAAGGACAGCAACAGACCAGTCCCAAGTCTCCACTATAGCTTGCAGCTTGAATAATTGAAAATAAACCACACCGAAAATGTGGTTAAATTTTAACAAATGAAGTGGGGGTTCATCTAAACATGTAAAACAGAACACTCCAAACCATTCAGAGGAAAAGAAACTGCTGGTCTTCAACATGAAGACAGCCAGATTTTTCCAATTGCTACCGTGAGGCGGAGGCAAGTTGGGGCACAAAAAATAATAAGTATTGTTATTATTTTTTGTGCCCCAACTTTCGAATTAACATTTGCTGGGTACTTTTAGAGATATATCTGCATTAGGAGGAATATGTACAAATCTAAAATAGAAATCACCAAACAGACAAAAGAATGAATCAGAATGGACCAATACCCCTTTTTTATAAGGCAGCTAACATTTAGTGATGCATTTAAATATATTTTCCCAGTTCTGTTCCCTCTCTTTCAATTCACTCAACTTTTTTATTTTAAAAACATCAAAAAATGTTTTTAGACAGATGCGTAAAATTTAGAGGGGATGCAGATGTTATTCATTCATGCCTTACACCACTGGCAATAATTTGGTAAAATTATTCTGAGAAATAAAAAAAATATAGTCATTAATAATTTTTAAATTTTCAACTTTCATACTTATGGTCCCTAATATACAAATAATCAAATATGAGAATGGAGTCAGTACTGCTGGATTTGATTAGATTTAAATGTCTTGTTTTGATTTTACTGTGATTTATATTCAACCAAGTTGACATATAAAGAAATTTTGTGGTATTTTTTGTTTTAATAAAATGGCTTTAAATTTTTTTTACTAATTTTATTATTGAAGGGTCTTTGCCAAAGCTGCAGAGTTGACAGCCAGCCCCAGTGAAAGCGTTAACTATATAGTTGACTACACAACAAATTTTAATAAAAATAGTTTAGTAGGTCAAATTTGATATTAAGATTATTAACTGTAGATAGTATTAGGGGTGATAGAACAGTACTTACCATACTTAGGAGCATTATTGTTGGGAGGAGGAGAGCTCTGCGTATTCACTTGAGTAGTGCCATTAGAAATATTAGTAATAGGAGTACTTGAAGGTGTGTTGACAATAGAGCTGTTCGAACTCTTTTTTCCATTATTTTGACTTGATGTCGACATTTTTGAGGGCATTCGTTATTCGTTCACTTTCAAAATATACCTACAATTTTTTCCACAATTAGGTTAGGATACATTATTTCAGTTGTAATCCCAGAAATATTGTATTTTTGCAGTTTTATTATAGTGTTTTGGACAAACTGGTTTAGATTCCTGTAAACAATTGAAAATAACATTAGTATCAATACCACATTAGGATGAGTGATAGGCTTAACAAAGCCAGTGACACTAACAAAAAATATTTAGTGTGGAAACAACAATTAAAAATCCCTAGGCACTGACCTACTTTCGTCATTTTTCTGTCCTAATTTAAAGACAAATAAAAGCATCTATTTAACAATGGATTATTTCTATTATACATATTTAATACTCGTATTTTCAATAAAATAAAACATCAACTCATTAATAGACAGCTGATTACTTACATTAACTGAGTTTTTAAAAAAGTCCCTTATCTCACAATTAACAAAATATTGACTTAAAGGGTTCGAACATTTAACAACATGAACATTAAATTTGATCATATACGTTAAAATCAACAAAAAAAAATTGGAAAATGTATGAATAAGAAACTACCTGTAAAATACTGCAGTCAGATTGCAGAGACTAGGGACAATAAGCTTTCTGATGAATAAAGAAGTTTAAACAAACTAAATTGTATCACATTATCAAACTTACGTCTTTTAAAAGTAGTGTTATTTTACAAATCATTAGAATGCATTCAAAAATTCAACACACAAGAAGATCAAAACTCAAAACTAAAATGATTTCACTAGATACTACAAAACGAATCGTCCATATAAAATGGCGTCTCGACTGACCAATAAGGAACTAGCGCCAAATATGACGTAACATAAATTTTCCGGGTTTTCAGATACATTCAAATTTCTACTAGTTGAATTACTCTAAAAAGTTCATAATCTTTTCATTAAAAAAAAAATATATTTTAGTCTAAACGTTACTTACCTTACGTTTAGTGGATTCCAAAAAGTTAAAAATTCGAATTTTTTTAGTTACTTATTTCAAAATACTTATAAAAGCATTTTAAATCGTTAAAATGAAAACAGAACGAATACAAAACAGCAAAAGTTCAAAAACAATTTCAACTGTCAACAAATAAACAAATGCTATCTTCGACATAAACATAAAAACTTGATTTTTAAAATTTATTATTGTGTCTAAATTGACACTCACGGATAACGAATAATGCTTGTTTTTTTTTTCGGTATTGAATATTTTTATATTTTTATTAATCTAGTTAAATAATTAGACTAGTTGAGTAGTAAATTTGATTTTGATAAAATAAGTTAAATAATGCATAAATCTGTTGTTCCGAAAGTTATTTTTAAATTGGTGATTATCATAATAAAAATAAGTGATTATTGCGAATCAAAATGTGACTATGCATAACATTTGCTGGGTTTGAATATTTACACGATCAAACGATTTTAAGAAGTTCGATCGTGATTATATAGCTTTGTTCGCGGTAACAATCCTGAACCGAATTATTACTAACAGTAACGATTTCGCAGGCGCAGTAGTTAAAAAGCGTTCGCGGAACAAAAAGAACTGAACTATTGGTTCTATTCTGCGTTCGCGGTAAAATAATTATTGGGTTTGGACCGCTTGTCTATACCTGAAATACCGAGATATAATAGGCATTGCGCGAGCGGTAAAAATTCAGAATTGATAATGAATCGAGCATGCGCTCACAGTATGAATTAGTAATTCTGAATCAGTTCCAGGATTGTTACCGCGAACGAAGCTTATGAAACACTTCATTCGAATAGATTACTATTATGTAGTACCGCTTTCGGTGCTAGATGGCGCCAGTTTCAAGGTTAAAGTAACCTGTATTGTCAAAAAACCTCTGTTCGTTCATCTGCCCACAGAGGTCACACTAGCACAATCACTAAGTTTAAAGTTCTTTCCAAACAAAAATGAATTTGGGGTTTGGATTTGTTATCCAAAAAAGGGAAAGGGTGGGAAAGTAATCTATTCGAATGAAGTGTTTCATATAATCACGATCGAACTTCTTAAAATCGTTTGATCGTGTAATTATATTTCAACACTTCATTCTTCATAGATTACTATTATGTAGTTGTTCAAAGGAACATTTTTGTTTGTTTATAGATATATAAAAAAATATCTCATAAAACAATTTTTTCTTTAATACTGCTTTTAAACTAATTTTATAAAAAACAGGAGCCTTTTGACTCTGAAAAAAGGAAATAAACATAACATAACTTTTAGATGTTATTTGGTTTCTAAAATAGTTTTTGTAAACTGTGTTACCGGAGAACTTAATGGTTTATTATAAAACTTGAGGAAGGTTTCCGATTTGTTTGTCCAACCAGCCATTTTCCTGATTACCTCTATTGAAACTCCACTTCTGTATGCACAAGAGGTTGAAGCATGACGTACTGAGTAAGCTGTAAACATGTTTGTGTTGATTCCTGCTTTATTTAAGATTTCCTTTACCCACCTGCTAAGGGTCTGACTTGTTGCTCTGCGGTGGGGTCGTGTGAATGTTAGGAAAAGAAAGGTTTGATCTTCTCTTATGTTACTCGTTCTTTCTATATATGTATGTAGTGTTTGAGCTACGCATATTTCAGGTTTCTGAAGGAAAAAAGGAAATTGTAAGAATGGTTGGTGTCTTCCAGGTGCAGAAGTTTTTATGTTATCTACGATAAAAATTTGTACATTTCCATCTGCTGTAAAAATTATATCCTCCACTCTTATTAAGGAAAGTGTTTGAAATCTTTGTGCTGTTATTAGTGACAATAAAGTAACTAACTTTTTTGTTAACATTTCTAATGATATTTCTTCATTTGGGTATAATTGTTCTAAATAATTTAAAAGGATTTTCGGATCCAAAGTCATATTAAATTTTGGTCGTGGAGGTCTCAGCTTCGATATACCTTTTAGATATCTTTTAATGTAGATGTTGTTGCCTAACCCTTCAGGTAATATTAAAGCTAGGGCAGAGCGAACATTATTAAATGTTCCATATTTAAATGGTTGGTTTTCATAGAGGTCCTGGAAGAAACTAATTACCTCATTTATAGTTGCCTTAAAAGGATCTACTTCTTCTTTAGTACAATATGTCCACCATTGCCTAAAAGCTGAATTGTATTGTTTTTTTGTGGAGATGCTTAAGGAGTCTAGCAGAACAGGGATACTATTAATTGGTAAGTCTTTCAATATGAACGCTTTCCTGATAATTTCCCTACAACCAGGGTAATCTTCATGGGGAAACTTTGGCTGAAAGGAGAACACAACAAATTAGCATTTGGTCCCAAAATTAGTGGTTCTGTTATTAATAAGTTATTAAAGAGGGTATACCATGCCTGACAGGGCCAGTTAGGCACTACTAGTATACCACATGCTTGATCAGTTACGATTTTTTTTAAAACTCTCAAAACCAGTGCAAATGGTGGAAAGGCATAAAATTCTATGTCTTTCCAAGAAATAGTAAATGCATCAATCGCCGATGCATCTGGGTCTCTATTTAGAGATACATAAGTATCACATTTTTTATTTATGTTCGACGCAAAAAGGTCAACTGCTGGTTTTCCGAATTTGTTTTTAATTTTTGAAAAGGCATATTCATTAAGTTCCCACTCTGTTTCTGTGGAAATGGTGCGAGAAGCCTTATCTGCTAGGTTTTCATTGGAGCACACATAAGAGGCTTGAATCCAGATATTTTTGTCCTCACACCAATTCCATATATTTCTAGCTAAATCATTTAAGTGAGTATGTTTTATACTGCCCATGCGATTTATGTATGAAAGTGCGGTTACATTATCCACCCTAATAAGGATATTGATAGAGGAGGTTTCGTTTGCGAAGCATTTTAAACCATAGAAAGCTGCCATTAATTCTAAATAGTTTATATGTTGTAATTTTTCGGTTTTGCTCCACCAGACATGAGTTTCTTCCCCCTGACAGTACGCCCCCCACCCTAAACTTGAGGAGTCTGTGTAAATTTCTAAATGAAAGTAATCTTCTTTAATATATTGAGAAGCTATTGGGGTCTTTTGTAGCCACCATTCTAAATCTGTATTAATACTTGAATGATTGATAGACATGGATTTATTGTAATTTTGATTTGTTTTTTTGAGTGCATCTATTTTTTCTCTTTCCAATTTTTTAATGTAACATAAACCGTATTTAACGGTTGGGAGTGATGAAATTAGTAAGCCTATAAGGTGAGCTAAAAATTTAATTTTACAAGTTTTTAGAAGTCGAAACTTATTAATGGTACTTAGTATTTTAATTTTCTTCTCATCAGGAAGTTCAATTGTCATTGTACTAGAATCGAATATAAACCCAAGAAACTTACACTTCTGTTTTGGTGACAGACAACTTTTTTCATAGTTAACTAAAAAACCTAATGATTCTAAAAGCTTTAAGATCATGTTTGTATTTTGGATACATTGTGCCTTTGATTTAGAAAGGACTAAAAAATCATCTAGGTAGACCATACAACATATATTTAATCTATGTATAAAAGAAACAACAGGTTTCATGAGCTTTGTATAAACAAAAGGGGCAGAGCTAAGTCCAAAAGGCATACAAGTGAACTCATAGATATTGTTATTAAATTTAAACCTTAATAATTTTCTGTAGGATGAGTGGATTGGAATAGAAAAGTAGGCTTCTTTGAGGTCAATTGTTGTCATGTAACAATTGTTTTGTACTAACTTTGCAGCTGTTCTCCAGTCATCCATTTTAAAGTGTTCCTTTATAATAAAGGAATTTAACTTTTTTAAGTTTAAAACAAATCTTTTCTGTCCATTTGGTTTATCTACAAGGAAAAAATGAGAAAGGAATTGACCTTTTACTGGGTGACATGGAACAATCACTCTTTGAGCTAGGAGTTCCTGAATATTTTGCCATATAAGGCTTCTTTCTGCGTTAGAAAATTTTGTTGTAGGTTCAGGAGGAATATAAACTGTTGATGCAAGTTTTAACTTGTATCCTTTTAACCATTCCAAAATATATTTATTTGGTTTAAGTATATCCCATTCTTTAATAAAATATTTAAGACGGCCTCCTATATTTTACTTACCGTTATCGTCTGTACCTTATTGTGTTCTGTTTGTGGTGTTCTCTTTGAGGTTGTGGCCTGTAATGTCTCGGTTTCCTCACTACCTGAGACAGGCCCTTCTGGTTTAAAGAATGTGGACGAGATGATACAGATTTCTTCCTATTTTCAACTGTGAATGTTGCTTTGAGATCTTGACTATTCTTTTGCAGCTCTTTTTGAGCTCTTCTTCTTTCAGTAAAGTCAGAACCAAACAGTTTCGTATCTATTTTTCCTGCTAATGCTAAATTCCTTACTGATCTATCTAGTTGGGGAATCACTGCGTGCCTTCTACTAAGTGATAATGTTCTTTGTGTATGAATTAATAACTTACCTGCATCTGTAAGGCCTTGCAGTATGGATTTATCAAAATCATTGTTTTTTAATATTTTATCTAGAACTGAACCAATGGCACTAATACCTGCCCTAAGTTGCGACTGAGCTTGTATCTGATATTTATCCCTTTTTAGAGACAATGAAGAAATAACCTCACTTATTTCAGAATTAAGTTCTGGAGGTTCAAGACAAGGCAAGTTTTTAGGAGCTGGATACTTGCGAACTAGTTCTGAAACACTTTCTTTGTCTAAACCTTCAATAAGGATATGAGACCATCTCTTTTGTAGAGCTAAGTGTAGTTCCATTGCTTTTGGCAATTCCTCCTCAGGATCTTTGCCTAAGATGTCTAAAACACTATCTTCTAGTTCTCTTTCTGGTTGATTAAGTGGTGATGTGTTGTTAATTAAAAGGACGTCGTCATTACCATCCTCATTTGTTATTCTACTATACTCTGCAGGTCCATCCGAAGCCCTACTTGGGCTGCGGTCAAGGGACCCCGAGTCTTGCCCATGATCGGGACTAAGGGGCCTATTCAGTAACTCTGAACGACGTCGTTAATAGACGATAATCGTTCACAGACGACTTTTCTTATTCAGTAGACAACGATTGTCGTTGAAAATAAACAAATATGGTTGTAAAATTGTCGTTCATC